TGTGTTTCTGAGACAGTAACTCTATGCAGGATTAGAAAGTCCACTTTATTCTCCCTCAGAGCACCCGGATTTTCAAACTGTGGATCTTATGGATCACAGCCCTGAAGATAATCACTATGCAACCAGGGCCCCTTTTTTTTCTGATTAAATCAGAGAAAGTAACACATTTCATCCATGATAAACTAAAATTACTCCATCTATTCCTTTCTGTCTTCATTTCTATTGCACCTACCTAATGCCATGTGGTATGAGAGAGCTTGCAAATATTTCTAAACTCAAGTAAGGGAGAATTGACCTTCAATATTTTTTGATAATTAGTGGTTACATTTTTATGATTCCAAACCAGTGACATGTATCATAAAATAATATTTCTGTCCTGAAAATCTTTTACCAGCTAGTTTTATCATATGCATTTTTATATTTAGCATTTAATTGTTTTATTTATAATTTTGTGTTATTCGTGCCTTTTATCAATATGTTTAAAATTTTGTGCTCTAAATATAACAATTACATATTCTAGATTCAAAGTTATGTCCAGTCTATATTTAAACATCTGCTTGATGAATTCAAAATGTTAAACAGGACTCGTGTTTTTAATCTTTTTATAAAAGAAATTGACATGAAGACCCACAGTAATTGAATTAATCCTCACTAATATATAGGTTCATATCATTATTCAGAGATTTTGAATATTCCTTTATATGTTCTTAAAATTTCCTTTCATACAATCTTGATAATTGAGTATTTATTACATTGAAAACACGTGTCCATTTATTGTATTGCTTACTTCAATATTTTCTCTAAAACTCCATAATAAAAATTAAAGAGAATAACACACTGATTTTCTAGTATTTAAGTATTAAGTTCTTCCCCTTGTCATTGCTCATAGATCTATGAGGAAACTGTAAGCAAAGTGGAAATCTCTGAATGTAGCTTGTGCCGATCCCGTAGTCCAACCCACTTGAATGCCCTTGGAACCTTCTCTCACATTCAGTGGGCCGCTGCTTCTGTAAAAGTCAAAGGCTTGAAAGCCCAATGGGCAGTTCTACTATACCCTATGAATCAGAATTGACTCTACAGTAATGGTTAGGGTTTTGTTTTTCAGTTAGTATTTTATTTATTTTTCACGAGGAGTCTACTTTAGATGATATTAAAACCCACTCCCCACCCCCCCAAAAAAACCTCCATCCATTATGTAGTTATGAGCTCCTAGTGACTCTATGGAATGGGGTAGACCTGCCCCTGTGAGTTTCTGAGACTGTAACAGATGACTGCAGTAGAAACCCCATCTCTCTTCCATGGAGGGGCTAGTGGTTTTAACATGTGGACCTTACATATCACAGCCCAGCGCACAACCACTACGATACCAGGGTTAGAACACTGCAAAATGTGCTTTTTCCATTGGCACAGTAGATGTAGTTCAAAATGTTCATTGGCATACAATACTGAGAGTATTATTGGGATGTAATGGAGTATTAAGTTTTATCCTGCACAGCTGTCGAGTTGGAACTCTCAGGAGTCACCAACAATCTTCACACTTAGAGCTGTGGCTCCAGCAGTTCTTTTCTGAGGATGTTTTTGGTCCTGTGACCTTTGGAATAGTCATCTAAGAATCTTCTCATATTCCATGTTAGTTGTGGCACCTGGTCCAGAAACTTCAAGACCATGATAACGCTGAGGGATTTTAGCACCCTCCACCCTTCTTCCCGATTGAGCAAGTCTATTGTTTCTACACTAACTTCCTTCTCCTTTCAAAGTCCCTATTCCTATGTAGGAATGATAAGCAGAAGCTTTTTGTAAGATCATTTTTATCTGAAATTTGCTAATCCCGGAACAGTTACAGGGTTCCATTGTAGGTTAGCCTTCACTCTGAATTGAGCACAGGAATTCATAAGTCAATAATCATCTTATCACTTTGAAATCTTAAGTGTTTGCCTAAGTATCATTCTAAAGCAAATTAAGTCAATCTCATGAAATTTTCTTGTGTGGAGAAAAATATCAGTGACTTGTTCTGAACATCTTAATTAATAAATTTGAAAAATCTCTATTCAAAGTAGACAAGAAATGGAAGTTGTTAAACATGGTGATCATAGCTTGGATTTATTCTGATGCAGCACATTCTTTATGGTTCTGCAAGATTTTGAACACAGAACGTTTGTCAGTCTACTTGGTTTCTAGTGCCTATTTTGAAAAATAAGACTTATTCATAAGCAATCTAGTAATGGAAGGACACAACACGAATCATAAAACCAATAGCAATGAAAACTAAAACATGACTTTTCTAGCCAATGATATTCTTAAAATTATTTCCAGTTTATCAAGTATTCCATAGTTCATATGTAAAATAAATATATTTCTAAGCAAATATTTGTATGCAGAGATAATTTATTATTCACCAAAAATTTCATATGAGTTATACAAATAGATGAAATTCAAATGTGCCAGGATGGCCTGGCAACCCTGTCTTAATAAATCAATTTGAGTGATATTAGTGATTAGGTTATCCTACATTATCCACTCTTTCTTTACTTGTAGTATCCACATGCCACACACAACTTACACAAATCAAATAGATTTGGGGACATGCTCAAATGCTCAAATAATGAAACGAATGTCCTGAAAACACCGTAACCACACAGGGAACCCCATTCAATAAAATAGATACCTGAAGGAATTTGTTAGGAATGATTCTACACAGAAATGCCATAAGTTATGGGAAATTACCAGGATCCTGTTGACCATCAGAATGAAGACAATTCTAACCAGTCCTCCTTGAAAAAAGAAAATGGATTTTCTTCTCCTCAAGTATTGCTTCTTTTTCTTTGGTAGCAAGAATTTATGGCTGTTCTCCGTTGTGATGTTCTCTGAGGAAGTATTTTGCAATTTGCTGATTATATAAAATTATCTGAGAGACTTTTAAACGTGCCCGATGTGCCTACTAATTATCTTGGACACCCATCATATTCCCATTGGAACAGAATTTGAAGGGAAGGAAGAAAACAAAATAAATTATATGTGCAGTCCCATGGAGACATACGTGATGTAAAGAACACATTTACAGTCAATGATGAATGTTACATCAGAAAAGAAAAAAGAAAAATTCCAGGACAATACCAGTAAAATGAAAAGGTTTGCAAAGTCATGATGACATATTATTGCTATGTATAGTTTTTAGTCATTATTTGAATGATACATTTTTAATAAATATCTAACAAACAAGGTTTTATATATGTCTCATGTAACCCATACATGTCTATTCAGAGTACACAGAGCTCAGGGAAAACAATGTAATTTACCTTTAGTCACTCAATTAATGATTATTGAAATTAATAGTGGATCTAGTCTTTAAATTGAATTTTAATTACATTCATGTATATCCATAGGAGAAATCATCATGCATCTAGTTGTTCAATATTTGGGAAATTGGTGAGAGTTTACATTGCAGGCCAATATCCCATTTAACCTTTAATATACATTTGGTTTCATCCCATGGTTTCACTTTTGGCAACCGCCAAAAAGTGACTTCACTTATTCTACTTTCTCCCTGTATTTCTCACTTTCATTCCAACTTTCCTAACCCATCTGTGTAAGTCTGGGTAGACTAGAAACAAAGTTCATAAACACTCATATTTTATAAGAGGGTTTTATATAAAGGGTAATTGTACATTGAGCATCCCAACCCAGTCCAGTCCAAGCCCATAAGTCTGACATTAGCCCATATGTCCGACATAGACCTACAAAGTCGTCCTCAAACTCACAAAACACACTATGATGCTGAGTACAAGAGGAATGCTGAATCAGTGAGCGTGTAAGCATCTCAGCTCTGGCAGGGGTCTCCAAGTGGCTGCTCCCGCACCCAGGGCTGCATCAGTGTATGTCCATGTGGCTCCTCCTCAGGGACTTGCAGCAAGTGAGCCTTGCTGGTTGAGGTAGAGAACTGGCTAACGTAGCTGCACCCTGGTGTGATCAGCAGAGAGCAAGAGATCTGAGAACCAGACCTCACGGAGCCATTTATCTCTCTGCCTTTCAATTAATCTCACAAAACATATGCAAGGACATGAGTGCAGGAGGAAAGCAGAATCAGTGAGCATATAGGCATCTCAGGGTTAGCCGGGGTCTCCATGGGGCTGCTCTGGTACCCAGGGCTCCATCAGGGTAAGCCCAGGTGACTTCTCCTCACGGATGTTTTCCAGGAAGTGAGACAACCCCCTCAATTAATATTACTTAGTTTCACATTATGTCTGCCTGTCTCTTTAGCACCATTCATTTTCCACATGATTTTGACAGCAAAATAGGAAATACTCTAAAGAAATTGTGATGGTCTTGTGGAGATTAAGTCTAGCATCTCTTTATTAACAATAATGTCATATTAAAATAGATGTATGCTCAAACTCATACTGAACTTATGGTATACTTGTGTTTTATATGGTTCCATATGGTTCCTCCAATTTTGGTGGTAGTATAATTCTATAGTTCATTTTAGTTAGCATTAGATGTGATAATCATTGTATATATTTTAGTATTAAAAATAATCTTCATGGAGTCTAAATATATTTTAATTTGTTTAGCAAATGCCATGTGAAAGCTAAGACCAAATATTACTGTTTCTTCCCAGAACACATGGTTGGACTAAATAGGCCAACAGAATCTAACAGTGCCGACTGAATTCATTCTCATAGGAGTAACACAGAGACATGAATTGCATCTCCCACTCTTTGGTATTTTCCTCATCATCTACCTGATCACAGTTGTGGGCAACCTGGACATGATCATCTTGACCAAGGTGGACTCCCGCCTACATACACCAATGTATTTTTTTATCAGACACCTGGCTGTCATTGATCTTGGTAACTCTACTGTTATTTATCCTAAAATGCTAGTCAATTTCATTTTGGATTGAAATACTATTTTCTATTATGAATGTGCCATAGAGATGGCTTTCTACGTTTTATTCATTATCACTGAACTCTACATTCTAGCAGTCATGGGTTATGACCATTATGTGGCCATCTGTAACCCTCTATACTGTGATCATGTCGCAGACACTGTGCCATGTACTTATAGGCATTCCATACCTCTTCTGTACATTCCAGTCTATTTTGCTCACCAGTAAGATTTTTACATCTACTTTCTGCAGTTCTAATGTCGTCAGTGACTTCTTCTGTGATAATGTCCCTTTAATACCCTTGCTCTGCTCAAATGCACGGCAAATTGAATTGATGATCATATCATTCGCATCGTTTAATTTGATGTCCTCCCTCCTGACAGTCCTTGTGTCCTACATGATGATCTTGATGACCATATTTCGAATGAATTCTGCTGAAGGAAGGAAAAAAGCTTTCTCTACATGTGGTTCTCACTTGACAGTGGTGGTAGTGTTCTATGGGTCTCTATTGTTCATGTATGTGCAGCCTGAATCTGCTCATCCTTTCAGCACTGACAAAATTACCTCTGTGTTTTACACATTAGTCATCCCTATGCTTAACCCCTTCGTTTGCAGCTAAAGAAACAAAGATATAAAAAAATGCCTTCTACAGGATCTTTAAGAACCCCTGTACATTTTGTATTTAATGTAGTATATTACTCAAATAAGTTATGAAATAGGTATCTGCTGTTTAATGGTGATCATATTTCTAGTCGATATAATTGTGTTTTCTCCAGTATAGGATCATTATGAGCCCATCTCAACAGCATGTAATCACAGAAGAATAGGACAGACAATGATAAAGCACATATCCATCTAACTGTTTCCTTTTTACTCATTTACATTCATATTTTCACCTTAAATTAAATATCATGTCCTGCGCATGATTTCTTGTTTGTAACTCAGTGAAACTGTAAGTGATTCCATGGGAGCTCATAATTGTCCACTCAAATGTTTATTAGATACCGTAGTTTGAAATTACATATTAAAGTATGTCAGTGCTACTACTGTAAAGGATCTTCTGAATTGTATTTTGATTGTACACTCTGAACCTAAATTACAATGCAGTCAACGTATTTTTGTACACACCATGGATGATTTTTTGTGTGTACAATTTTGGACCAAAAATCCTGGTGATCCACAATGAAGTAAATACATAAAGTAGTATATTTTAATATGTTGTTGTTAGATGCTATTCAGTTGGTTCTGACCCATAGTGACCCGATGCACAAGGAAATGAAACTCTGCATGATCCTGCGTCATCCTCACAATCATTTCCATTCCCAAGGCCATTGGTGCAGTCACGGGGTCAGTCTATCTCTTTGAGAGCCTTCCTCTTTTTTGCCACCCCTATACCTTAGAAAGCATGACGTCCTTCTCCAGGGATTAGTCTCTCCTGATATATGTCCGAAGAATGAAGGACAAAGTGTTGACCTTCTTGCTGCGAAGGAGCACTCTGGTCCTACTTCTGCAAGATTGATGGATTTGTCCTTTTTGCAGTCCATGGTACTTTCAATATTCTTTTCCAGCACCACAATTCAAATGCATGAACTCTTCTTCTGTCTTCCTTATGCAGTGTCCAAGTTTCACATGCA